TTTGTCTGTGTTGGCTTGTTTCGGGAATCTGCGATGAGAGATTGTGATTTATGGGATAGGCAAAGAGCTAGATAGGGTTTGCACGTACCGTTTCCTGTGTCTTGTCTTCCAATATTCCTTCGTTATGTTCCCAAGCAGATTTTAGGCATCATGAGAAAACTCGGGTTCCCGTGATTTGATTGAATTGAAGTCCATTCCATCCTAGAACACGTGCTATAACCTTACCGCCGATGATCAATTTTACAACACATATTCGTGGGGGTTATACCTACCAAATCAGCTTTGGCATATGAAGGATTTCGCTCAAAGTCTCTACCTTCCGTTTTGGAACCAATTCCCCTACCCGATAATCTCTTATCCGGACCCCCAATAACGGGTATCAAGTACCCATTGATTATCATTATCAATCCCTTCATCAAAGGTCCAACCCCCATTTCACATCAAACCCTCCAACCGACGAAATAAACGTGAGAGTGGAGTACCTTCGCCCGTAACATCGGTAGTAGGGTTGGGATTTTTGATGATATATAATATCGCATATTCGTCAGTTAAATATAATACGTAATATTAGTCAAATCGCATTATATGTATGACTAATCCTAAAATCCTATGAAATCCTATAAAAGCCTATAAAAGCCTATAAAAGCCTATAAAAGCCTATAAAATCCTATAAAAGACTATTTTGAAGCTATTTTGAAGCTAGTCTGAAAAGAAGATAATTAATGTATAAATCACATGATTAGTAAACAATTAGCATCTGACTTTTAGGCCTAATTGTATACTAAATTGAAAATTAGAACTCATCAAAAACTTTTCCTAAAAACGATCCACTTTTATTCATCCTGATGATTTTATTGGTTCAAAAAAACACGTGTATAAGCTTGGTATAATATTTTATATACCTCAAAAGGCGTGATAATATGAAATTATATAATCAATCCTAAAAATATGTAATTTGCCCATCCCTAATCGGTAGAGAGATAGATCGAATTAGGAAATTGATGTAATATGTATACCTTTAACACCTCGCTTCTATATCGCGATAAAGTACATATAACGTTTATATATGGGATTTTCCAGATTATATATCGTATGTAGGGATGGGCGAATTATATAATTTAGGGGTTGATTATATAATTCTATATTATAATACTTTTTGAAATATATAAAATATTATATCAAGCTTATATATATATTTTTCGGGCTAATAAGACTATTAAGATGAATAAAAGTGGATCGTTTTTGGAAAAAGTTTTTAATAGATTTTAATTTTCAATTTAGTGTATAATTAGATCCAAAAGTCAGGTGCTAATTATATACTAATTATGTGATTTATATACTAACTATCTTCTTTTCAAGATAGCTTCAAAATAGCCTTTTATAGGGTTTTTATAGGGTTTTATAGGATTTATGATTAGTCATAATATAATACAATCTGAGCGATATCACATATTATATTTGACTGAGCGATATATGATATTATATATCATCAAATCGCCCAACCCTACCTCGGAGGCATCCCACATTGCGCTTGAAGTCCCTACCGGCCCGAATACCAGCTCCAGTCATCCTGACATCCCCACTCCCAGGATGGGCCCAAACGAAAAAAACCGCCGTGCGAAGATCCACATGGATACTGGTCCGGCTGCTGGGATCCCTTTACGCGACCTCATCCCGGAGTATCGTCCACCATTGGCAATCTGTCGAACGGGAAGCGATGAGAAGCAGGGATTGGTAGGGCAAACAAACAGGGCTACCACGCTTTTTCGCTACGCTGCCAATTACCACGCGTGGGTTTTGACACATGATTTAGAATCGGGGTATTGGTGCCCTATTGTGTTGGTGTGGTTAAATTGATATGAGTCGCGTGGTTGGTTGGGATAATATGAATGGTTAATGTGAAGTGTGAACTTCTGGGATGCGTATTTTGGTATGGATGGATGGTCTGGATGATTCCGGATGTGTTTTTGTGTTTTTCAAGCGAATGAATGATTGGATCACTGAATGAATTCGAGGAGGGAGGGGTGTGTAAATTGTCAGAGAACTATTGAGAAAATAGCGAACACTTTCGTAATGGTACCTGCATAAGTCTATTTACCCTTTAAACATATCCAAAGAGACTCTTGTGTGATGTGAGCTGAAGAGAAGCGTGATATATTCTCGCAAATCTACTATACTTCATTAAAACACACGACGATGAGGTTCTTATTCTCTGTCCCGAAGTCTTATTCTCATGATTCGAGTGAAGAGCAAAAGTCCAGACCGCAAAATGATCCCTGGTGAGAAAAAGTAAAAATCATGTGAAAAATTCTAGACCCAATCTTGATCTCGTGTTGGTGTCGTCGCGGCCAGGCGGCTCATTCACATTTTTACCGGCGGTCGGATAAATTGGTCCGATAATTTTCCGTCCAATGAATACGAGGGGATTTGAAGTGGAAGGTGTGGAGGTTTACAGAGTGATCAGCTGGTGTGGTGGTGATGTTGGAGTCCTTAGGCAGATATTATCTATTGTACTGTACGTACGAGTAGATGGATATAATATTGTATTCAATCACGTATCTTGATATAGTGAAGTACCGGCTATCATCACATTGTGAAAAAAAGAGATCTGTATTGTTATCGAATACTTACTATCATTGCGAGAACACTTTACTCCCCGTTCAGTATACACAATTCCTCCCATATCCCCTTCTAAAATCTCACCCTCACCCTCACCCTCTTACTCACAGCACGGTAAATCCCCATCCACGAGCCATCTTCTCTTCCCCGTGTCCGTCCACCTCCGCTGTGATATTCCTCATCCTCACATACATGATACATCGCGCAAGCAAACTACCACATCAAGTGCTCAATAACCGAGCGATATCACCCGTTCCTACCCGTTGAAGAATGTCAGCTCAGCTCATCTCATCTCACTGCCTGTATCATCCTCTTCTATCACATGAAGTGATAAAATCTTTTGCTTCCACGCCTCATCGTCTCGGGTGAGATTTTGGGTTCCCCATCTAGCCCCGCTCAACATGCTTTGCGAAGGGTAGCAATCTTATTCATTGTTTACTTGCTTACCAATTGTTCGTCTTACATGTATTGACATCTATCAATTCTTCTACCTGCGTGATACTAACATATATGACATTCTCCCCGATGATATACTTGACAAGCCTTAAGAATAGAAAACCGTTGTATATCTGCATGCAGGTATGTCCGTATGCACAAAGGGTAGTAGTCTTTCACAGGCTATCTTCACTTCTAGAACCTGCAGGGACTTTTGTGACCATCTGGAAGCAATGAGTGAGTGAGCAACGCGTGAAATTTTGCTGGGAATTGATTGTGTCGGAATACTCGATATAGTATTTCTTCCGTAGTTCCAAATCCTCCACTTCTGATGATCCCGACTCAAATCTCGTACTCTCGTAGATGAAAATAAACCCAAGTAAATATCGAATAAAATATCCGAAAATATTTAAAGAGAAATAAATAATAATAATAATAATCCGAAGGAAAAGAATGAATATCTACTCAAAGACAAAAGAAAAACCCCTGTTTCTCATCTCTACCTTCAATCCCCAATTTCAAAATAAACTTTGAATCATTCCCTCACAGAGATCCCCGAAAAGAAATGAGATCAACCACTTCCCATCCATAAAGCCATCCACGGGTCGCGGAAACAGTGATACCGGTTCGTTAATCAATAGAATCAAAATCACATCAATGCGTACCCAGCATAGTATGGCAAGTCCAACCAAATTGGGCCTCCAGGAAGGGTTTCTAGAAGATTTCCCAATCGATTCTGGATGGGTAGGAGATGAGCTTGTTTGAAGCTATACTGAATGTGCACGAGAAATGGACGTGTTAGAGCAGGAGAGTTTCGAAGGGACTCGGGGAGGGGAAGAATCGAATCCGGGGATGGAGACTAGAAACGCCACGACCGCGGGAAGAAAAAGTCTAAGAGAGCACCAGGAGGTCCAAAAAGGTTATATCTCGGTGCTGGCGAAAGTTTAAAGGAGATTAGATTTATGTGATGTTTTGGATGAGATGATATAAATGACGTTTGCGGATCCAGTGCATATGACTGGGGAATGTGAAACTATCCACGAATGAATTGGGAAGAACTGGGCAACAGATACTTTGGAGCGAAGTTTGAATGGAGGGAATGAGAGGACCGACAAGCTTTCTTTCTCGGGACGACCCAGGGTCTTTGACTTGCTTAGGGAGCCTTTTGGCTATTTTGGGAAAAAGGGGTGGTGTGCTTTTGTGGAGTGCATGAACCTCTAAATTCCACGAGGTATGCATTTCGTACAGAGTACCTGCAATAAGTATCCTATGCTATGCATTGAGAATGTAACAGTGAGTCGAATGAATAACTGATAATCGATATCATGCATTCATTGAATTGATTCAAATCGGTCTAGAATTCAATGGTATGGAAAATATACATTTGATAGTGTATTTATGCGAGTGATACTATTGATCCTGAATTCACGACTCAGTCAATATATCTCCCCATACGTGCGTTCTCAAACACATTGGTAGACGCATAGATAGTACATAGCACATGGTATATTGCTAGCACGGAGTGAAATGTGATAAGATAATTATAGTTACAATATTCTGCGTGCGGCTGGAGTAAACAGGGAATCCTGAGTCCTCAGATAAGTTTCACAAAGCTCAAACGTCCCATTCAACTCCTTCTCTGTAGTAGTAGAGCTCATAGCACATTATATTAGATAGCACACACATAGCACACATATAGCACACATAGCACATATATAGCACACATAGCACATATATAGCACACATAGCACATATATAGCACACATAGCACACATAACACACATAGCACACATAGCATATATATAGTATATATATAGTATACATATAGTATACATATAGCACATCACATAGCACACATAGCACCCACCACATTGCACCCACATCGCAAATCGCACATACATAGCACACACACAAATAGCACACCCATCCACCCAACCCTCAAACCCTCAAACCCTCAAACCCCAACCCCAAATCCAAAACACGTCTACTTCCCAATTCGTCTCCTCATCAGGTAGCGTACCTACACCAGCTACGCAAACAGCGTACGCAAAAACCCCAAGCGCTTGCTCCATAACCGTTCCATTCCATGCCATGACTTTGTACTCCACTCCAACAACAGCCACAACCACAACGACGACGATCCATCCACCCATCCATTCATACATCCATTCATACATCCATTCATACATTCATTTATGATATATATTCTTCAAAAGATCACAAATGCATCAAAGCTCACCACCTGAATCAAGTCTGTGATACCGGTATCCTTCATCAACGATTCATTACTCATCTCATCTCCCTTTCTCTATCAAAGCCATACAAACAAACGTATACCTACCTACCCACCCATCCTTCATCCACAACCCTCATTTCCCATGTCCCATTCCCCATCTCCATCTCCATCTCCATCTCCATTTCCCATCTCCGCTTCCCAACTCCCAGCTACGAGGTATACCGTATTCCAGAACAAATAAAACAACCCAACCCAATTCTCCCAGCTCTCCCAATTTTCGGTTCAGGCTCCAGCTCCGGCTCAGGCTCAGGCTCAGACAGACTCATCACGCACACGAACAAACACACAAACAAACAAGCAATCACCCGTGACCCATCCCCTCCAAAGAAAGTATTGCGCCCTGCCCCGAGCGTTTTCCATCCATCCATCCAGGTAAATAAGTAAATAAATAAATAAATAAGTAAATAAGTAAATAAAGAAATAAAGAAAGAAACACACCTCCGTATGCCAATCCAATCTCCTCGAATCTCCCGGCGCTCAACCGCCGGTACGAGGATCCAAGCGAGCCGTGGCGCCTGGGAAGGGTATTTTTCGCTTCGATCCCATGTTCGTTCGTTCTTAATTTCCAAGTGCCAGGGGAGGGAGGGAAATGGAGATGGGAAAGCTTGGATGGGAAGGGGGATATTTAGATGATGATGATGATGATGATTAAATAAATAAATAAATAATGTGATATGAGTGATGCAGGGATATGTATGTATTTATTTATTTATTTATTTTCTTTTCTTTTCTTTCATTTTCTTTTCTATTATTTCGCCATCGATACTTCGGATCAACGTTTTCCTGGGTATATTTCCACTCCATACTTGGGTACTTGTTTTACTTGTTTTACTTCCAATCACATCACAATTACGCCTTGTCTTGCCCGTTACCATTCAGTACCTACCAGAACCAGTACCAGTACCAGTCGCCGTCCCCGTCCCCGTCCCCTCAAATTATCCACACGAATCATAGTAAACAAGTCATGTCTACTCCGTAGATATACATGAATGAATATAATCTTACATACATAATTTGCACATCTCATGATTCAATCCCATCCATCCCATCCCATCCCCATCATATCATGCCCTCCCAACCCCATCATCCAGTCGCGCGATCACTGGTGAGCAAGGCCATCCAGTGTCTACCCAGTATCTCCCCGTATCTCACTAGCAATTCATCGCATCCGAAACAAGGCGTATCACTCTCACGGTCTCTCCGTACGTACCAATACCGAGAGAGTGCTTTTCTGCCCATACCGAGGTACTCGTACTTGGTATGTAAATCCCATGTACGTATGTACCGTGGATAGTGAAGTGTAGATTACATACATCTTCCGAACATCGTATACATATACATGTAAGATACATGCGACGAGTCGATTCGATGCGCACGAATAGGAAGGCTTTATTCGTTAAATCGAGAAAACGATTGAGAAATAAATACTAGGTAAATAAATAAATAAATAAATAAACCCCATTTTGAATTGATCTATTCCTTCCTTCCTACCTTTCTCTTTTCTCTTCCGTTGACGTATAGTATACTCGTACTTTGAAGAAAAGAAAAGAAAATAGAATAAAATAAAAACTCATCATGTGATTACTTACATATTTATCTCTGTTTCTGATTCTTTTTCTCATATATTCTTCCATTCTTTCATTCATACAATCATACAATCATCCATCCATTCATTCATCCATCCATTTCTTTTTCCATCTTCCATTCCGATACCTTGTATCGTATATCCATATCGCAACGGGGATCTCCACACCTCGTGCCATCTTTCTTCTTTCTACCTCCCTACCCACTAGGTAGTCTTACTTCTTTTTCTAGAAGCGACCTCACCTCATGAATGAAATCGAAAAGAATGCGGGGAATCCCATCCGTCCAATTCATCCATCCCACCTCATGATTTTCCATCTGGGGATGCGCAGGCAAAAACTCGACACATGGATGGACGAATCAATGGATGAATAAAGCGGAATGGGAAATTCCGTGTTTCTTTTTCGGGGTTGTTTTGTTTTGTTTGTTTGTTTGGTGTTGGGTTTGTTGGTTGGTTGGTTGCTTGGATGGTTTACTTGTTAGCCATGTGATGTGATGAATAGATGAATAGATGGATCGATTTCTTTATTACGTGTAGGTATTCGAAATATATGATATTCTCGAAGACAAGACAATGGATATCTAGATAGGTACATAGATACCTATTCTATCCATCTACCAATCTATCTAGTAATGAATGAAAGAAAGAATAAACAGAAATAGAAATATAAGAGTAATGGAAATAGAAATAAAATAATAAGAAATAAATACAAATAAATAAATAAATAAATGAATTAAATCTGAATATCAACGCAACAAAAAGATACGAACACGATTTCGAATACATCACCAAATCATCAAGATGACTAACTAATTGGGAATCCATTTCCATTTCCATTTCCATTTCCATCTACGAGTACAGTATTTCATTTTTCCATTGCGAGATCTACGGTACCGGTACTGCATATCAATTACTCACTTCATCAATCTACATCTGCATCTCCATCTCCATCTCAAATTCAAATTCAAATTCAAATTCAAAAACTCAGATATTGCTAGTACCCCGTGTCAAACGTCAACCATACTCCCAGACTCCCTCCTACCAAGTTTAAGCCTCCCAACCACAACAACGTCATGTCATTCTCGATTCGCCCCGACCCGTCTTACCTTGACATCTGACTGACTGACTGACTGACTGACCGACCGATTGACATCCATCATCCATCATCCATCATCCATCCCCAGGTAAAAAACGCAGATCAGATGATCCGATCCGATCCGATCATCCATCCCACTACCCCGATACCGAACTGAACCTCGGATTAATTAATTTCCTTCCTTCCTCTCCTTGTTTTCTTTTCTTTTCTTCTCCTTCATCATCATCATCATCATCATCATCATCATCATCATTCTCGTCATGCAAACTCAAACTCAAACCCCCAATACCCGAACATCTTCCTCCTCCTCTTCCCCACCCCTATACCATACCATATCTCATAAATTCTCTTCCGCTCACATGCGAGACTCAATTCTTCATTGTGCGATTTATTTATTTGTTTATTCCTTGCCTTGTGTGGAGTACCTAGGTAGGTAGATAGGTACCGGTATGCAGATGAACCCTTATTTTTTCTGCATTTGCTAGCTGGGTGGTTCTTTGCAATGTAAGATCTTACTATTTAGTTAGTTAGTTATGTATCTTACTATTGTACAATACCTAGTACATAATTCGATACTAATTCGTTACGTTGTGTGGACGGGCGGGGTACGGGGTGCGGGGTTGGGATGTTGTACGAATATACTGTACAGAGCGAGAGAGTATCGTATGGATAGCTAGGAATAAATTTGGGTGGGGAGTTACTTGTGAGCTTGTACGGAGTAATTGAGAGGCTGTGGAAGTGATGATCACGAGATGGGGAATGGATGGATAGTCCTTGTTGGGATGTGTAGCTGGGTATTTACCTAGTACCTTGTTGATGGTGGCGAATATAGATGGATAGATACTCCGTAGATGTGTTGTTGTTTTTTGGGGTATTCGGATGGAAGGTCGGCTGTGGTTATTGGGGCGAGGGCGAGAATGATTTACGGAGGTTGAGAGCGGATCTGATATGGTAGTTTATGGGGATGATTTCGTAGAGCTGAATGGGAAGATGGATAGGAATAAGGAGAAAGTGAGAAATAGAGATGCACTATTGACTAACTAACTATCTAGATAGGTATACAAAGCTTGAAAATATATACATACCTAATAAATATACAATTCCATTTCCTCATATTTCAATATCAATCAGCATTAGTATAAATTTTCAAGGCTTAATTGAATTAATAGAGATTTAAACGAAGGGGTAAAATTCTTCTCTGTGAATTATTCAGACATTTAGATAAAGTATTTATATAAATTACTCTTAGAGATTCATAATTATACTTAGATAAATAGATAAATAGATATATACTTATAGTATAATAATAGTATAATATTAGTAGTAGTAATAGAAGGTATAAAGATATTTAAATAGATTATCTATCTCTTCTATAAGATAGATTACTATAGGATAAGATAAATAGATTAAAATATAAAAAATAAGTCTAATATAATATAATATAATATAATATAATATAATATAATATAATATAATATAATATAATATAATATAATATAATATAATATAATATAATATAATATAATATAATATAATATAATATAATATAATATAATATAATATAATATAATATAATATAATATAATATAATATAATATAATATAATATAATATAATATAACATAATATAATATAATATAATATAATATAATATAATATAATATAATAGGGAAAAAGACCCTTTATATATTAATCTATAATAATGGAAAGTATATACTCGGTGTTGTTTTAAATGAATACCGACTACAATTTAGCTAGTATGTATCACACCAAAATTCAATAAAAGTCATCTATTTCAAAATTCAATTATAATTCAATTATAAAGATTTAGAGTATAAAATTCTATAAATATATAGAGATTTAATTGAATTTTATAAATATTCTTTTAAATTATAATATTTCAATACAATTATTAAATTATTTAGAAAATGAAAATATCGAAAGTATAAAAATAAAAATTCGCTTATTTTCAGACTTTGAATACCTAAAACTAAGCCTAAAAAAACATTATTTAAAAGAGATTTTCATTCGTTTACAAGTTCTTCAATTTGATTTCAAAAACCTTGAGATTTTTATATTAGATTTTTTCATTAATATTCTATACATCCTCGAAATTTAAAGAATCTAATTATATTACTTTTTTTAATATCAAATTTTGAAAATACTAAATAAGCATG